TCTCATAATGATATAAGATATAAAAGAAATTCTTGCTTTTAAATAAAGAAAATTAACTCAAAAAATGCTCCCTCTTCCTTGTGAAATTCCAAGCGGCGACAGAGAGAAAAAGAGAATGAATATTTTTATAATAGTCTTTTTAAATTCACATCGTAGTATAAATTTTGTATTCTTAGGTTATTATATGATAATAAACTGATTTAGCTCGAAGGAAATTTAACAAATCTAGAAAAAACTGTGTTTGGTTTTTTTGTCAAGTTGACTAGAGCGAGAGATAGAATAATCTTAGTTTTATTCGTCAGTAGTAACTAGCTTATACGATGGATAACGAATGTTATTAAATTAATGTTGAAAGTATGTTATTAAACGTTGAATGCGAGAGGAAAAGAGATAAAAGAATGACATGTTTAACGACTTGTGAAATGTATGTGTCCGGATACACAAAAGCTGTCTTTTTATTAGCTGTTGATGTAATATGACAGAGTTTATGTGAAGTTGATTTCTACTGAGATTTGTTAAATCTCAGTTATTTTCGTTTTACATATTCACAGATTCAATGAATGAGAGAATTTCGCAGAAAATACAATTAAATGATAAAATACTTAACTTCATAATTTGTTTCGTTGTCTCTGAAAACAAGCTTTATAAATGTATAACTAAAGTTTACTATGGGATTTTGATCAACAAAGACTCCAACATAGGGATAAATCAAAATATTTTAAAGTCGCCAAAAACCTCTTTGATTAACCTCCAAAGCTCGAATCTTTCTGATATCTTAAACTTTTTCTGTTTGTCACACTGAGAGCAAAGTAATTCGGTTTCATTGTACTTAACTTTTTGTACTATGATTTTAAACTTAACAGCAAGATCAAAGTGAAACAAAGATCAAAGTAAAAAGAGTATGTTTATTACATTTATCTTAAAATGTAAATGTATTTTCTGTACTCCTGCAAATAGAAAGTACAAAAAATTGGTCAGAACACTTTAACGACGGCGTCTGTTTTGTTTTAATAACGCCTCCTTAAAATCACATCAGACCGTTATTTTTTACGGTGAACAGGGTTACTGACCACATCTTAAGATAAACATGATAACATGGTGAAATATTGACGACATTAAATACCAGCAAGAGACCATATTTCGTGCTTTAAACAAAACTACACTTAAAAGAGGTAACAGTAAAAAAGAGTATATTCGTGTTATTCTCGATTGGCCTCTTTTTCAGTGAAAACCATTAAAATTAATCAAGGTATTGCTTGCCTACTTGGAATGATTTTTTAAAAACTAATGAGCATATCGATTATTTTTTTCAAAAGTTAACAAGTGAGAAATGCAAAAAAAAAATAAAGAGAAAGTTTTCCGCTGCATGACCTGCTCAGTTGTCTATTAAGAATATAAACAGATTAACCCCTGTCAGTGGTGATATTAGATAGTACTCCTGTATTATACATACACTTTGCGTTCTCAGAATATGGAGATTTGTGCTCCTGTTAAAGAACTCACTGGGTATAATGAACTTGATCTAGTAGATGAGAATTTAACTATGAAATAATAATATAATGTATATAGTCATTCTGTTTAATTATTGTCTTTATGTGCATTTTATTTCAACTCTGTTTTCACAACCTACCATGTTTAATGTTTTACAAAAACGTAACCGTATTGCACCATTTGTCCAACAATTAAGTATTTATGAAAATAATTTTTAAAATTAAGTCTGAACAATGTTTAGTTTTCTATGAATACATTCAAGCAGATCGGTAAACAAATAGAAAATCGGAATGGCAGAGAGAGGGAAGTTTTTTTTTTGCTTAATGTGAGGGAGGATCGGATTTTTAGAGAGAAAGATGACAGTTAATCTTGTTAATAACATCTTGAATTTCATGGTCTTTTTTCGTAAAAAAATTATCATGTATTTGGAAATTAATAAATGGGAACGAGTTATAGTGCAAACTTACATAATTATTGAGCGGAAAAATATGAATATATTTTTAATGCAATAGCTGCTACGTATATACCTTTTCCAACGACCATAAAAAAGCATTTATTTCAGCCATATTTCAGCCAAACACAACAAAGTAAACAATGTCTTCTTTGTAATTTTAAATATGAAATGCATATTATAATGTCATGAAGTAGACATAAATTCTATACTGCAGACAATGATGATACCAGTCTATACACTACCCACGGTCAGGCTGCTTCCAAATTCCGACAGAAAGCGAAAGAAGCGGTACTTACCAAACAAAAAAAAATTTTTTTATTCACAAACTATTTCTGGGAAGCTGAAACGAAAGATATGAAAAATCATATTATTATAACAGGTTTACCAGGCAGTGGAAAAAGAAAATTTTTAAGGAAAGGCGCTGAGAGTTTAAGGAAAAAATTGCAATTTGACAAATAGGCATATATTAAAGAGCAAAGTTCGCAGCATTTTTAAGGCTGAAATTAGAAGGCGGGGTCTAATGTATACGGGAAAGTTTACTGTGACGTCACACTAAAATATGACTTTTATGTATTCCTCATAATACCAGAAAATGAAATAATTTGCAACTTTAAACTGCAAAACTGGATCACTGATCTCGATGAACTTGTCAATCATGACGTCATTTTGGTAAAAATGACGTAATTCATGTGCTGTGAGAGGCAGATTGAGTAATTTTTTAACAAAGAAAATGCGTTTTATTATTAAACAGAATGTTATTTACAGGTGTTAAAAAGGCTTTTAATACCAATGTATATTCTTTGTTCAGTGCGATTATTCATTCACTAACGGGCGAATGTATTTAGATAATTTTGTCATGTTTTTATGTTCAGGTTAGGTATGTTTTCCATCGAGGTGCCTCATTAAATCGTTCTTTCCCAGGGACATACACTAAATAAATCTTAACCATTTTTTAAAATATAAATAAAGGATATGTTCCTTAACTTGAAAAGTGCTGCTGCTTTCTTTAAATCGAGAGGGTGACTTTATAAGTACACAACCTATTTTGTAAAAGTCAAACATATTTCGACATTGGCCTATTTACTTCAAATTTTAACTATTAAAACGCGAATTCTATTCAAAGCAGCAGCACTTTCCAGGAGGTACAAAGTATACAGAAACAATTAATAGCTTGAATTATTAATTTCAAATAGGGTATACCCTTGCAATATTAAAATTTGTTAATGACCTACATTCAGTACACGTACTATGCCTTCACAAGTGACTGTCCATCGATGGGACCAAACATCATACAGTGCAGAGTAGGTTATACAATGCTAATTCCATAAGTATTTAGGTTTTGTGATTATAAAACAGCTGAATAAAAATAAATTAAATTTTAAAAACAATACCCGTTTTTGCATTTCTATTTTCCGTTGATTTCTCATAGTAGGCCTTAACAGTGCTGCGTTTTTCTCATTTGAATTACAAAGGCAAACAGATCATTGTAATAGATGGGCAATTTAACCAAATATCTTTTGATAAACAGGTGGAAATGTTTCTTACCGAAATTGTGAAATTTGCTCAATGTACTTCAGTCTTTAGTGGGATCATTGTTGTCTTTCAGAAAGAAATTTAAATTTTTTTTATGAATCAGAACAAAATTCATTATCTTTAAAAAAAATTAAAATCATTGACATCAGTTGTGATGAGGTACCATATGCTTTAAACGATGATGAGAGAAAAAGAATGTTAAAATCCTGTGGTGTTGTACAAGGGAAAAATCAAGATGAATTAATACAAGGATCGCAAAAACTTCCTTCCTTTCCAAGATGTTGTAAGGAACTATTTCTATCTCCTAGAAAATATCTTGATAATTTTCAAAACATTTCAATTGAAGTGCTTAAAAATCACTTCCAGTCTATGATATTAGCCTGCAAAGTTGTTCTTTGTGGTACTGCTATAAAAGACGACGGGCTATCACACATTGATATACAACCAACATCAGAATTCACGAAATTCTTCAAATCTATAATTACACAACTAGATGAACCGTTTGAAACGATTTCTAGGCAAATCCTAAATGATATAGCAAAAGCTTTTGAGGGAGTATACTTGTCCTATAAGTGCAATAGATATATATTCATTAATCATCTGTATCTGAAGCTGTTCACAGAATGCTGTTCACCAAAAATAAGTGGAGATATATTGATCTCATTAATCATCTGTATCTGAAGCTGTTCACAGAATGCTGTTCACCAAAAATAAGTGGAGATATATTGAGAAGTATTCTGTTTCTAGACTTTGTGTCTTATCAAGTGACGTCTGTTACAAATCAGAATTAAAAGGTCTTTTTTAAACTGGATGCTAAAACGCCTTGCTAAAGAACTGAAGAACCAAGCGACTGAGAATTTATTGACTGTATTATGGAATCTTATTTCTTGGATAGAACCGGAGGAGTAGGCAGCAGCTGAGGACATTTGTGCAATAGTTCTTGAACTGGATTGGATAGCACAGGAATTTTTTTTTAAACTGATGCCAAAGGAAAGGTGCAAGAAGTTTCTATCTAAGATGTTGATTATTTTCCCATGTCTAAAGTATAATAGGACTAGTCGAAGTTGGGGTTTCAGTAGTGTGCAAGAAAGTGCTTATGAAAATTTGTTTGACTTGAGCAAGTTATGCTCTTGCTTATATGAGTTATACATGTCTTATCGATCTAGTTATTCATATTGGGGTTTGTATTTTTTTTTCTTGAAATTTCGTCGAAATGGGGCATCTTAAAAGACATACAAAGAATTGCTTAAGATCCCCCTATTATGTATTGTATATTGTTTAACGTCCCTCTTGAGAATTTTTCACTCATATGGAACCCCCTATTATGAATCAGAATACTAAATATTTGCAAGTGATATTTTGCCTTGCGGTATACGGCTATCAAGTTGCAAAAGATCGACGAGCCTCGAGAAAATGTGTAAAAAGGAAAGGAAAAAGGTTGAAAACGTGTTGACAAACGATTATTTACGCTTATTAAATTCATATACACTTGAACATTCTTCTGACGTGTTCAATGATACTTGAAGAGAAAAAGGAAAAATGGTACATAAGGTGTGCCATTTTATTTGGTTCTGCGAAATGGCGAAAGAGGATATGTATAGAACTTTTTAATAGAAAAATATTCTCTGCAAAAATCATTGAAGAAGAAATTAAGAACTTACACATTAATTGTTTTAGTGACATGTATACAATTTCCTACGCATATTGTGGATACATATTTAAAGGGGGTGAGAAAGGTCAAAGGGGTATCAATACTATTGTAATAATTGTATCTGAAACAAAAACAAACCCTCTATACAGTATACATTCAGATATTGCTGGTCTTGTTATATTGAGAGAAGAAAATGAGGTAAATGGAGAGGCTAAAGACGTTTTATTATATGAATCAAAAAAGATCTCGACACCCTTCACTAAGTTCAAAAGCTTTGGATGATTTATTTCAAAATCACAGCAACATAACCTTACTCAATATGTCTGGTGTACGATCGAGTGGTTTCGAAACTTCAAAATGTACAATTGAAAGAACAAACTGCGTCGTTATACATTGTCAAGTAAAGGGATTCATTCCATTTGGCGAAATGTCCTTTCCAAAGGTTATTGAAGGACATACTGTAGATGTACGTGAAGCAACATGTAAGTTTGCATTGGATCCATTACGCATTGGAATGAAAATAGCGAATCATAACAGAAATGGGTTTGGTACTCTTGGTGGATTTATTGATTCTACTGGCACTTTCAATAAAGTATTTCTAACTTGTGCTCACGTTGTATGTCCGATTGCTACTTTGTTGCAAGCTGATTTTACCATAGAAACGGGGAGACAAGAAGAACGTGTATTTGATGGAACAGATGGCAATGAAAATGGCCCTGTTGGCGTTGTTGAAAAGGTATCCTTCCAACTAAATGATCTAAGCAAAGTGAGTGTTGATGCTGCCTTGGTTGGTATCATTAATCGTGATCCAGTGGATGGAAAATTAGCTGAAGTGTATAAAAGAGAGCAAATATACGTTGCAGGTACTGTGGAATCATTTTTATTCGTGGGAGTCAATGTTCGTGGGAAGCCAAAAATTTCCGGGTTTGTGGGGACGTAACTTCGTTCATAACAAGTTATATTTCTAATTTTTAATGAAAATAACACAATTTTTTTTGTACATACGTACGTTCGTGGGGATGTAAATTCGAGGGTCAGGGTAACCCACGAAAGCCACGAACATTGGTCCCCCACGAACAATGATGATTCCACAGTATTCCTTTATCATAAATCCCACTAGCTTTACAAAAATATCAATTAAACGAAATTTTATTTGACTTTTCTCATACTGATTGTTAGGCCATAATTTACACATTGAGTTGTGCATGGATTTTGTTCTTCGATTTAACAATCATGACAAGGAGCACACAGCTGGGGAGCACACGGCGGGTGTGACCGGTTGTCAGGGGATACTCACTCCTCCATGACACCTAATCCCACCTCTGATGTTTTTGAGGTCCTATTTGTAATGTTTAATTGACTTTTTACTTCGAATGCTGTTGTTATTACCTCATATTCCAGTAATCTACCAATTATTTCTGTACTCTCCATGCCTATAGGAATCGCCACTAAATTATTATTTTTATGTTCATTAAAGCTGAACATGATTAGTAAAAAGAATGTGTCTGCCATTTTAGTTCCCGAGCCTCGCTACTCTACAGACCCCTATAAATAGGGCGTGAGTTGGTCACTGTTCAGTGTAATCAGTCAACACCGGTTTAGACGGACATATGCTAAACAGGATTCGGTAGCAAGCATAATAACGTAATACTTCGTCTAATGCAGGAAAGTAAGATACCAAATAAATTTACAATTATAGTCGAATAACTCAGTGCAGTATACAACAACACAGATAAACGTTACTGCAATAAAATGTAAACAAAGGTAATGCAAGATAACCAGCACGAACACAGGTCGGTATTCCACGCCAATACTCTTGACAATAAAGCAGTCGGGTGTAACGAAAGCGACGAGTATACCCTAGTATTGATGTATCGTAGATAATGCTATCGAAAATTTACGAGTCGTGTTCAGCTTCAAAGTCGATTTTTGTCACCAATGAACATTATAGAGCTTACTATGCAAAAGGGCGAAAACAAAAAAAACACTTGGCTTAAATACCCCTGTATACAGTATTTCAAAGTATCGATATTATTCATCCACACCCCATCCTATCCCTTAATCTACATCTAATACGAAGTTGCAGTATCATATTAAACGCGTAAGAAAACAATAGTGTCATTTTGCATTAATGAGATCTATGAAACCTTTTTACTTTTAGTTATAACTTAATAGATGTTGCAGAGATAAATAAAGACAAGATAGGTTAAGACTCCTTTTTGATTGATTGATTGATTAATTGATTGAATATTGTTTAACGTCCCTCTCGAGAATTTTGCACTCATCTGGAGACGCCACCCAGTGAAGAGCTGCAGATTTTGACCTATACTGAACACTAAAGGAAATTGAGCATGGAGGGATCTTTTTCGTGCCAGCACCTACTGCAACGCAGGACTTTGGTATATACGGTCTAATCCGAAGGACCAGTCTCCACGTCCCACAATGGGATTCAAACCCTCGACGTAAGAATCAACTCCTACTTCGCGACTCTAAAGCAGACCCTATAACCATAACCACTGCGCCACGCGGGCGACGACTCATTTTTGGCCCCTAGTTTCGATCGAGTGTCTTTAAGAATTATGCAATAGCTTATCTATGGAAACCTTTTGTTATTCCAGCCACCGAATTAATATTGGTTCTGAGATATGGGGTATACAGAGGTCACAGGAAGGTAAGAAAACATAGAGCACAAGCTTGCCTATTAACTAAATTTATATGCATCCTGTGTATGGAAGTCTCAAATTATGACAAGCTTGTACTCTGTGTTTCCCAATGTGAAAAAGTATATCAAACTTGGTAACGAAATTCTACGTGAATAGAGTAAATTCGGAAAAATGCCCTACCTCTACAACCAACTTTGGCCTACATGTAAGCTTTGACTCAGAATTAGTTGGTTTTAAAACCCGAACCTCATTTTAAGTTCTTTACTACAAACTTTCATAGTTTTCATGTGTTAAGATTTTTACATCAAATGAGGCGCCAGACTTGGCCGTGATCATACGTTGCACTCTGTAATAAAATACTCGAATACATTACTTTCCCTTTCAGGTTTTTCGGAGACCACTCTACCGGAATTTAAACATGGTGAAATCGAGACTATATCTGATGATAATTTTAGAAATGATGTCATCAAAGTAGGAGCTAAAACAGGACTCACCATTGAATCCTTGAAGTACGAAAACTCATGTGCAAGACTTGTTCATCATGATTTAAGACTTGGAAACAACATCATGCGTACTTTTTGCAACCAGTATGAAATAAGTCCAAGAACCGATTCTTCTTTACCGTCAGAAACAAAACAACTCTTTATAGATGAGAGTGACTCCGAAGCATTGGTATTTATCGTTAAAAATAACAATCCTGCCTTGTTAAAGTGCAGAGGAATGACCGTTGCATTTACTTTCGTACAAGATAGTATCCAAAAAAATTAAGAAATAAAGAAAAAGTATATATTCTGTAAATCATTATATTTATATTGTAAACATTGAATTCAGAAAATGTTGAGAACACGTCATTTAGAAAATATATATATGAGTATGTGTTGAAAGGATGCTAACCAAAAAAAAAGTAGAAAAGTAGAAAGTATTTAAAGATCTTTTCTGTAATTATATCTTTTGAAGTAAAGAACACAATTGTCACATTTTTATGCTTAATACGTTTTGCAATATGCAGAATATCTCTTATTAATGAGACCTTGGCTTTAAAATTAATACAAGGAAAAAAAATGATTAACGAAACTTGAACATTTTCTTTTGTGTAAAAAAAACCTGATGTAATTTTTTTGTAAACGTTATGTAAATTGCACTATTAAAAAAGCATTAATTATAATAAAATAATTCTACGTTAATGGGACGTTGTTATTAACAGAAAAAAGATTCCATTGGATTATTCTGTTTGTGCTGTAAGGTTGAGAAAGATAACTACAAGCTTTTCTTTGATTGATTGTATGTTGTTTATCGTCCATATTATAACAAAAATTGCACTAAAATAGTTGTGTATTTTCAAAGAGATAAAACAGATGCAAGCTCTAAAGATAAAAGTAAATAAAGATGCTGACCACTAGGAGTTGAACTTTAAACGTGGACGGTTCCAAGAAATGTTCCTTGGAATGTGGTTGTTTACTTGTTCATCAAAAAATGTATTTGGTTAGGGTGAAGAAGCAACTAATAGTATTGAAGTGATCAGAGTTCAGATGTTTGGATAAATCAATTACAACAAATAATATTGAAAAATTATGCAAAAGATTGGAAATTAAGAGATCTCAAACTATCTTTATATCTACAAAACCACAATTCAGATTAGAATAAAATTCGGTACACACATAGCCATACACAAGGTCTATAAATAGAATATGCTGAATAAAGTTTCTCTCCTTGTTTGTGACGTCACAATGTGAAAATGACGTCACTATTTAGGTCACTTGTGCCGAAAAATGGTTGTCTCAGTCGAACTCGTTCAACAAACGACTGTACAATTTATTGTAATATCTTAGAAATCCCTCTACAGTATCATATAATAATTTGTACACAGTTTATTGATATAAATGAGTTCCTATAAATTAAATTAATGATTGGATTAATCGTTTTAGTGAAAGAAGGCTGATGGTTAAAAATGATACTTGTCATCTTGCCCAGTGAAAGCAGGTTTGAAAAGATATGTATTTTTAATTAAGCAATTTGCTATCAAAGACCTCCAATTAGCAATTTGAAAAATAGTTGAATATTTGAACAATGATATATAAGTATTAAATACCTAAGATATCGTTTACTTTAGATTTTAAACATATTAGATATGATAAAAAGGATGCACCCATTCTCTGTCCACCTTGAATAAAAGTCTCTCCTGAGACAGAAGATTTGTGTTTTAATGGTCCCCATGCTTATTTTTTGAAAGGCTGTTATTATCCACCCATTCTGTTGCCGAGATATGACCATTTCTGACAAATTAACTGTTCTTGTCATAAAAATTAACTCACATGGAAAGAAATATAAAACTCGGAAAATCTTCTAACTTTTGTGACAGAACGCTACGGAGGGGGTCACGTGACCTCCAATATCACGTGATTTGCGCATGCGCAGAACGGTGGTTGATGTGCATTAAAATCGGGGATGATTTATTTTAATTATATTCAACGTTAAAACCAAATATTGTTTCTTGCATGGAAGTTATTCTATTAGTTTGCGAACTTTTTGATCACCCCTCATATTTTGAAAGTGCAGAAGTTTAAAACGTACTCAAGGTCAGAATAACAGTAATTAAATTTCAAATTAAAATTTAAAGTAATTATTGCAAATTTCGATGGAGTTGCAAATATGGAGATGTAAATCTACAAAGAAACAACTTGTATGAAATGAGTGGCCGGGATAAACAGGATTTCAGTGGAAAGCTGAATCTTGACTGTCTTGATTGCATTTAATACAGGTGAGATAATTTTCTAGACTTGCGCGGTTTTTGTCAAATTAGTAAAATTTTCACATGGCTTAATTTATTTACAGGTTACAATCTTTTATATCATAACTAGTAATGTTAAGTATAATGTGTAGTATATTGTAAGAAATTATTTATTGTAATCATGACAAAAAGATTGTTTAATTTAATAAAGAGTGGAAAGCTGAATCTTGATTGTCTTGGTTGCATTTCATACAGGTTGGGTAACATCGCCACTCCCCGATACCTGTTGGCCGCTCAGGTCCGCAAATTTAAGAGGAATTATAAAATAAAATGAAATATAATTGAGTCAACCCGGTACCTCCACAAGCTCCAGTGAATGAGTAAATCTGATTATGAAAAGTGAGAAACAATCCTTTTTAAATTTTTATGAAATCCCTCTCGAGATTTCTTCAATCATATGGAGACGCCCCCACTTGCCGTTGAAGAGATGCAAATTTTGTCCTAAGCTAGGCACTCAGGGCCATTTAGCAGTTAGGGAACATTTTTGATTTGTGATTTGATTTCAGAAAACCAAACTGTGGTAATCAGGAATTTCAGATGACATCGTCACGTGACTCTGTGAAATCAATTGCAAAATATTACCAAAAAATTGGAAAATTAGGAAAACAAAATAATGGTCAACCAAAAGATGTTCCAAAAAGCTAAAATGAAATATTTATTACATTTAATTTGAAGAGATTAACATAATCGTTTGGTTTTTTTTTTCTGGGTAATTCCTAGCATGGTACAGCTGCTGCCCGCCTCGTCAAATAGTAAAAGCCTCTTCGGTTACATATGGACAAAACGATTTTGTTTTTGAATTTCTCTAACATACGTTCAAACTTTGCTGCCATTGGTTTTAGGTCTGAAGAAGAATTAATACAGTGTGATTAAACTAAAAGATACAAAATTAGTGTGAAAAGAAGTCACAATAGGCCTAATTGTAAAATTTCAGTACGATGCACACAGAAATCCCCATTTACCCGATAGTTGAGGATCGTTACATTTACACGCTGTAATGAATTAAATTTTATTTATAAAGCACAATTTACAAGGACTCTTCAATATCAATAAGTGTTTGAAAGTTTTTTTTATTATTAGCTATTAAATTCATACCCTAATTGCTTCAAAAGAGGTCTTACCATTGATGGACTCCGAAAAAGATTGACTCCTTTCTTCTTGCCTGCAAATTTCATCACCACTGCAAGCGCCATGACTTGTAGCAAACAACAAGGAAAAGCAGAGAAGCTAGAATAAATCTCAAAATATTTATTTTTTTAGATGAAACTACGCTATGAACTTAGAAGAGAACTTTGCAAGTTTAATTTTCTATGTCACATTTAAATCTCCTAATCGAACTCAGGTAATTTGTATTCACCTGTGGGGAGCCTCCATTTTTCACCGGGTTCATTTAACCCCGTTTTATACCTCAAATAACTGAAACTTTAAAATATTGGTGAGCCCGTGCTTCAGTTTGGACACGGCAGTCCAGGTAGAAGGAGGTTTTCAATACTTCTAAAGATATTTGATTTGTATTATACACATGGCAGACTAATGAGAGTATTTCAACCCAACCATTATTTTGAATTTATGATATGGTCCTGCTTCTCTGAGGTAAGCCTTATTTATAGTTTGTTTTTAATATTTTTTCATAAAGTTGTAAATATCTTAAAACACCAAGACACGGAATTTCTAAAATATGCAACTTTAAACTATTCCATTTCATATTTTCAAGTTCTGTTATTTATAGTTACATTTGTATTCGAAACTGCTTGAGTCTTAAATGTACGGTGGCTAGTTTGTATCTTTATTTGTCGGTTCCACCTTCTATTATAACTGTTGAGATGTATAGCAATTATTGCATTGTACATATTGCACTGTAACGTTTCACCGCGTAAATTGTTTGTCTATATTATTCTGTGTATGATATTTAAGAGGTCTCATTGATCATTCCTGTATAGAAGTGTAGAGATGGCGGCCCGTACCAGTCACATCTCATAGTCTTGAACGCAAGACGAACGTGTAACCTCCTCGGCACTGGAGAGGGGGAAGTGTAATTTCTTCGCACTGGAGAGGGGTGTCTGAGCCTTCTTAGCGGCAAGGGACAGTAGTGTAACCCAAACACCGTTTGGAACTATAGACTACTGACATTCGAGGGACACGGACGACCACACACCAAAGCAGTTTATTTTGTTGTATCATATTTTGTTAATTAAAATGTAAAGTTAAAGTATAGAAAAGATTTTCTGTTATTTATCAAAGAGGAGTTTGGATCACTATTCTCTACGCAATGTCATTATTTGACATTCTCGTGAAACTTTAAATTCAATTCTATTAGATTTAATTATATATTGTGAAATCATACATAAAATAAATAAGAAACAATAATACCTGACGACGATTAAGAATTAACATTTATACTACATATAAAAAAATATTATTATTATAAATATATTTATACGACTGCACAGATTAATTTACAAGGATCACAAAACTTTAAATTCAATTCTTTAGATTTAATTGTATATGTTTGTTTTAGAAATAAAAGAAAATTATGTATTCATACCTAAAAAAATAAAAAACAGTAATGCCTGAGGACGATTTGGAATAAGCAACCATAAAACATATTTTTAAAATACTGTATATCCGTTTTTTTTTTTTTCATGATGATCTATCTTTTGCGACCATTTTTAATTCGCAAAATATAAAACACGCATAAATTTCGTAAGCTATAATTAAGGAATAACTGTCTTATTTTTCGAATTCATGAAGTGATCAATGGATTGGCTTGTGTGATAATTTGCATAAACGCCGAAGGCGTTTATGCATAAAATTATCACACAAGCCAATCCATTGATCATCTTCATGAATTTGAAAAATCTGACAGTTATTCCTTATATTTACATGCTTTGATTCCACCAATCCACGGGCTCCAAGCCTGCTTCTCTCTGGGTGTTGTCCCGCCCTGCACGTGTTTTTTTTTTGGAACCGCGCCAAAACA